AGACTCAATATTTAGCAACCATAGCTCTTCAATGACTCTAGCATCGGCCACGCGCACCTCTCCACACCTCATCTTAATCGAGACCAACTCCGACTTGCCAGCAAGAGCCTCAAGTACCTACTTTCACAGGGTCCTTAACACACCCCGGCATCGCAGGGGCTTACTAACCCGTCCAGTACTCCCCCCACTCGCCGTAAACTCATCCAGCCCGTTTGAGCGCCTGTCTTGGGGGGCGTGATTCCGACGCAGACGTCGGGCGTCGAAGATTAATAGAGAATCCAATGAAAGTGTCGGTAAATTTCCACTTTTTGTATGGAACACATGTATGAGGGCAATAAGAGCAGAGAGCAGAGAGCATTGCGCACATATTCCATACAATAAGGCAAAATATGGAATATGAGCGCATTAAGAGTAGAGAGCAGAGAGCATTGCGCACATATTCCATACAACAAGGCAAAATATGGAATATGAGCGCAATAAGAGCAGAGATCATTGGGCACTAATTTTATACAATAATGCAAATTTACCGACACCTTCATTGTAGGCCTTATTATTAATAATCCTCAGCGATGATAGTCTGCTTCGTAAAAAAGCCGCCAACACGAAGCTAAATGCTGATAGAAAGTAATGAGAGATATACTGACTGGCTTCGAAGGTTAATTAGTGATCCAGAGCGGCGGAGGTGCGGTCACCACCTCCTACCCTATACAATGTTGATACGGCCATGTACACTAGACACTATCATCACGGTACGTAGTACTTGAGTTCAGTAAACTAAGGCGTGTGTGATTAATGTGTCGCAGTGCCAAATTCAATTTTTTGAATTGGCGCCCTGGTGTAAACTGCAAAATCGCAATCGTTAGCACGTGCAGCCTATTTTGTGCGATAACAGGAACAACATATCTAAATAGCACGCTGTGACGTGTCAACAACAGTTTGGGAGCTGGAACTCCCACGAAGACCAATTTGTATTGTTGATCAGATTGCAAAAACAAAAGTGAGCTATCTAATTTAACTTGCAGGCGCTCTCGCCTGCCACCTTGGCAGTCCAGGGATAGCCGCCCTCGGAGCCTGCTCTGGCTGCACTCAAGTGCAAGTCCATCAGCAGCTATGTCCTTTAAAATCCGCATGTGTCTTCTTATGATCCAGCTGAACGCTGTTCATACCAGTATCATGATGTAGTTCATGATG